CGGCTGCGGCAGAGCTGCCGCCTCCCAGCCAGGAGGAGAGCCCCTCGCCCTGCAGAGAAGGGCACCCCAGAAGACAAGGTGCCCTTTGTCGTTCGGCCCCTCCACGGGGAGACCCCCAGGGTAAGCAAAGGAGAAGGGCAAGCACAGCTGCCAGCTGACTGAAGCAAGGATGGAAAGTAACGTGAAGAAGCTCACATGTGTGTTCAGATTCGTTACGCTTTACGTCTGGGACATTATAAGGAATGACAAGATCAAAGCGCTGCATTGAGCGGAAAGGAATGCATACCCAAATCCTCTGAGTCAACTTTGATCCATCCTGCTGCGTAATTTTTAAATACAACGATGAAGGAAGAATGAAAATCAGCATATTGGCAGAAGTGACCCCTGCGAAATTTAAATAAATGAGTTTTGTTAGTTGTTAGCAACAGCTAATTGACTGGTTAGCAACAGTCTTTCACTAGTAGTACAAAACCAGGATACCGTACCTACAACTCCGAAAATATCCTTCATGGTTGGGATAAAAATGACTAACAGGTTGATGATAACCAAAAGAACAAGAGTAACCAAAACGTGACGGCATAGGTCAAATTTTGTTTTCCTAGCCAGCTCAAATAGTGACGAACGCACCTGTAGAAAGAGAGAGAGTTCTCTGTCAGGAAAAGTCTATAAGCCAATTCAAAGCTTCCCATGTTTATTTCAACCGGTTCTTCACACGACAACAAGCGCTGCATAGATCCATCAGAAACTTTGGGGTCTCTGATGTAATGCCCTTTGAAATAATCCTTAAAATTAATTGAGTATTTTGAAACTGTAGTTATACATGCATCTGCATGAGGACATTCCTCCCTTTCTGGCATGCCTTTTGGGGTCCTTCTGCCCTTAAAAATGAACTTCGCCTCTGAGCCTGCTCCAGTGAAGTCATGTGAAGTAAGAGAGCGCCCTTGTGGATTCAATTTAAAATAGATTTAAGACCAAAACCGATTAATTTATTTCCTGCATGGAGAACTTCTCCAGAAGTTAGTGGGAGTCTGGTGTGGGAAAAGACCGATCCAAGCTCAAGGTTTTTTTGCGTAATTGCAACATCGCTGACTTGGCAGCTGCTGGACTGTGTTTTGAAGAAACGCGCTGCGCATAGCCATTACCGACTTCCAAACCGTGCGGACCTTTTTACTTACAGTGAAAAACAGCACCGGCACTGTGAGTATCACTGCAACGATCACAGCCAAGCGCACGGTCAGGATGAGGATGTCATCTTTGCTCTGGTACTTGTGAAGCAGATCTGACTGCACATCGTCTATGGAAAAGACAGTAAGATAAGTGTTCTGGCAAAGAGGCAATCCGTTCACAAAAATCATTACTTAACAACACTGCCTTCTTGAACAACAAGTGATTTATCTGCAAACAAAAGAGCATGGAATGAAACAGTCTTGAGTTAAAACAGCGCTTTCAACCAAATCCTAATGATCCCATTATTCCAGATTAATCCTTTGGAGGCCTGATTTGGGAATGCATCCTAATTCAAGACAGCACATGCCTAAGTCTAAGGTAATTTTCACTGTAGGAAAGACAACAGTGAGTCATAGACGAAAGCTTGCTTACATATGTACATATATAAAAAATAAGTAGAGTGAAATAAGCTATTTCTAATTGATTCCGTGGGCTTTTTTTTTTTTTTAAAGTTTCAAATGATATAAAAATAACCACATGCACTGCAATGACTGAACTTAATATCAGCTACAAGGTTTTGAGCTAAATTAGTCTAAACAGCAAATAAACTTCCAGTGAAAAGCAGTGCCCCTGCTCTCAACCAAGAACAAAAGCCTGTGTCGGGTCAGCTCTCAGCGGGATGCTCTGACATTTGCCTCAAATCCCTCGGCAGCTCCTCCGAGGGCTGCCCTGATGTTTTTTTGTCTTGAACCTGCCACCCCCCCGCCCCGAGCCAGCGGCCCCAGAAGCCAAGGCAGATTGTGGGGGGTGCCTAACAGGGAGGTGCTGGCGATATTTTAATATGACCTCCTGCAAAAATGTTTCCTTGAGGCTGTGATAAATAGCGCAGAGTGGGTCTGCGTGTGCTAACCAACAGGAAAACCAAGTAGCTGAGGGACCTGTGTGTTTGCTTTGTCGCTTTTAAGTATCTAGGAGCAATAACCTAAGGGGGCGGCTGTAAAGCGCACCACAAAACATGCTCGCTGACCCTTTTTAGGCTCATATTTCGTTTCTGCCTGCTAATCTTAGGAAGCCGGTGGTAAAACAGAACAGCTCTTAAACCAAAGTCCTTAAAGGGAACTCGGCGGCCACGTCTAGTTTAAGACCTTTGGCACTTGGTAAACCCTCGTGTATTCCTGGAGGCAGTGAGATCTGCCCTGCAGCGACATGCCTGCGCTCCCCCCAGGACGCCCTTCCAGGAGAGACCACGGGTCAACACCACCTACGCAGTGCTTGAATCCCCACCAGGAGAAAGAAAACACTCTCCCACCTCCCTGCAGATTAGGAGTGGGGTTTTCAAGCCGGGCACATGCACAGCTTCTGCAACACAGAGCTTACTCTGCTCCTGCAAGCACAGACTGCAACTTCTGTACCGCTCACGGGCTGCAGCCAGGTAGGAAGTGAAGGGCAAGGCTTACAGTTGAAGGTCTGTTTTCCTTTCAGCTAGATACACCACAGAGCCCAACCACAGTGTGACCTTTTAGGGGAAGAAAAACACCTCTTTTCTGTAATTCTGCAATGTAAATATAGTCATCACTGCAACACTTTCGAGAACACAGCAAACAGACAAGTACTATTGGCATAAAGAAAAAATGGCCACAATAAAAACGCTGTTCTTACCCAGGAAAGGGTAGAGAAGAGGGTTAGAAAACTGGAAGCCAACATATGGAAGTTAAGGTCTTGTCAGTCTCAAGGGAAAGAAGGATCAAGGGGGAGGAATTTTGTATTCCCTCAGTGTCTCTTTTTCTGCCTGTCATGGCACTGACCCTTGCAGAAGCTTCCCCCCATGGGCGCTGGGGATCAGGGACGGCTGACGTGGGGAGAGGCACACGAGACACCCCAGGGATTCCTCCGCCGTCCCCCCTCGGGAGGGCCAGAAGGACGCAGCCCCTACCTCCTCCATGGACTCCAGACCCTCGTCCTTGAGGGGCGTGGGAGATTCCCAGAGAGGAGCGCCACGGATCTGCCTCCTCAGATCCCTGGGGCAAGCACATCAGAATCTCCTCCCTGCCAAAGCGAAGGGGTCCGTGCTGATTTACACCCACTTGCTCCCTGGGGCCGCTAATTTGATGCGTTTCTATGAAAACGTGTTAGACGGGAGCAGTTGGATGAGAACGGCTGTTGCTGTTGTCACTTGCAGCGTGTTTGCGGTTTTATTGGGAAAATCAGAACAGATGACCTCAAGTTACTTCAACACGTGCAGACTTCAGGCCTCATAATCAGAATGAGAGCCTGAGAAAACAAATATGAGACAAGTACACCTTTGGAAAAAAAAAAATGCCACATTTCATATTTCCTTATTTTCTTTCTCTTGCCATAAGTGGCTCACAAGGAATGGTATCATGAATGAGGAGATCGCAACAAAAAGGTCACTCTTTAGGATGGGGAAGACCGAGGACCTTTTGGTGACTCTGGGGTAAAACGCAAACAGCAGTTTTGTCATCTCTCTTGTAACCCCTTAACGGTCCGTGGAAAAGGTACTACTTTTCAACATTCACATTATACTGGAACATGGGAGAGGCTTCCTGGGCGACATTCGTGTTTTATCCCCCTTTAATTAATAATTGTGCCTTTAGGACATACATGTTGTATCCTCCAGCAATACAACATAATTTGTTTGTTTCTGTAAGTGAATTGATATGCATGAAAAGAGACAGGGTGCAAGTCTCCAACACTGAAATAGCCATCCGTTGGCGGCTGAGCTGGGACAACACTTGAAGCTTCCCCACCTTCACTGCCAGTTTATTTAACCAAGGCTTGAAGGGGTCGGCTCTAGGGACACAGGGAAAACATTTCGTCCTTCACCTCTATGATGAAAGTGTCAGTAAGAAAACGAAAAAGCTGTGATGGCTGATTTGATACTCATTTCCCAGGACTTGCTGTCAAATCTGTCTCATTTTATGCAGATATGCACGCTTCAGTCATTACCAATGTATGCAACACTCGGGTGAGGACCTTGGAATGAAAATCTTAGTGGGGCCCAGCTAGTCCTCAATTCTCTTAAACAAATCTCTCTCTCATATTTTGAATATGACTTTTGCAAGTACCACTCTCACTTGTGGTTTTCATCCACAGCGGAAAAGGAGGAAAGGATTTGTACCTTCAGTGGGAAAACTTTAAGGAAAATTATTTGAAAAAGTATTTTAATATAAGTGGATAGGACTTTCCTTTCCAGCTGGGTTACACTGTTGATTTCACATGTATTCCCTTTCTACTTTGATCAGTAAAGAACTGCATACTTACCGTAGAAAGTCAAATAGCCAAATATGGCAGTCATAAAGTACATCACAAACATGGCAAAGAATGAGATATTTGAAACCAACTGCATTTTTTTCTGTGAACGGCTGGGAAAAAAAGAAAAAAGAACACATAACAATGGTTGGGCCGGATTTTTCAATAGCTGTTTAAAAATATATTTAGTCTTTGCATAAACATTGTAATTCTGGGGAGACTCATGAATGCATTTTCATTTAAAACGGGAGTTCATTGACAGCTGCACAAGGAAGAGAAGGACTGGGGAAACGGACCCTACCTGGGCCTAAGTCAAGAAATGGTGGCTCTGCCCTGCGGCTCTGCTCCCCGGCCATACCCGCCTAAACAGAGTGAAGGGTGAAGCCGAGTGGAGAGGGATGGCCCTTAAACACCTCAGTAATTAAATTAAAAGGCCAAAGTAAAGGAAGAGTAAAATTATACACAGGAAAAAAAAAACATTCTGAATGTTTGCAGAGAAAAATTTGTGTCCCCATGGGTAGAAAATAATGAACGTATGCAGATGACTGTAGACCTGTAAAACAGATTAAGTGCAAACATTTCATTTTTAAATATTTGTTCTGAAATATTCACACTCCAGTACCTAAACTCAGACTTTTAAATCCACACAGGGATGCCCTAAGTAGGCATCTGGGAACCTGCTCAAGTCACTTGAAACTCAAAGCGCCCAGCAAGTGTGTGGGACCTGAGGGCACCCCTGGGTCTGCCTGACCCCGACCTCTCCCCTGTGGGTCCCCCCATGGCCCAGGACCCCACTGCAGCCCCCCCAGCTGCCAACGATGCCGCAGCAGGGCTGGTCTCCAGCTCCCCGCAGCCCTGCCCAGCCGGAGGTATCAGCGAGACAGCTGTACTGGCAAAGGTCTTTTAGCACAGGCAAGCCTGAAAATGCCCTTTTTCTCTGGTACCACAACAGATTTTTAGTTGCACTGGAGCAAACGCCGTTAGCTGAACACACACCTCTCTGCCGTGTCAAACAGCGACCAGCACAACTTGGCTCTCCCCAGGCTGCTGTGTGCTTCCAGAGAAAACTCCCAAAGCATTGCATTATCCTCAACCTCCCTCACCCCCGCCCCAGCGGCGTGCCGCGGCGGCCAGATTTCCCAGCTGACAGCCACGCTTGCTGGCTTGTTGGGTGTTATTAAAGAACATCTCCTCCGAATGGCACGAGTGACTCAGAGCACCTCTGCGCTAACATTTTCCGTGCAAAGCGGTTCAAAACAATTAACTGGGGGGGGAAAGAAAAAAAAAGAGAAAGGCTTACTCTTTAAGCTCGCTGTAAATCGGTAGGACTGACGGGTGGCACACGAATGCAAAAGCAATGGTGGGCAAAGCGTACACGGTCTGTTCGGAGGGAATTTCAGAAAAGAAGTTAAGAAGAAGTATTTCCCCCAGAGGCGCGAAAAAATTATCCGTGTTCAACTACCTCAGCTCCCAGCTCTCTGGACTCTTCAACTGAACATTGAGAGCCTTCAGAGAAGACAGCAGACCTGTCAATTAGCACGTATTTAATGAAACATGGAGAGCGGTGCTCTTAAAATGGGAGGACAAAGCCTTCGCGTTGGTCATGCGAGCACAGTCCTGACTCTGCTCGTGGAGCGCAGCGCTGGACGCCGCACGGCCGCTGGTTTCACTCCCTGGGATGAGTTTCCCTGCCCAGCTACTGCCACCGTTACTAGCACCCCGTCACACGTAAAAGGGATGTATGGTGGGTCGCCACTACGCTACCCTGCCTTGGCATGGAGAGGGGTGCGCACCCGTGGTGCTAAGGCTGAAGTCCTGAAGAGGAAGCCCATATCCAGACTGTAAGAAAAGAGAAGAGGAATGCAGAACTTACAAATAAATGGATATTTCAAGGTACCAGACTGAGTCCCTTCATTTCCCAGGCCAACAAAAGGGCTAGGAGGGCTGTGGAAGGAATGCTTTTCCTTGGGGAAAGAGAGAGACCGTTACGTCACCAGGAAGTGCAGGAGGTCTCTGGGGTGGACCTCACCCCCTTCTCCACCGAAAACCTGAGCGAGTTTCAGTCCTCAGCATACAGCCAAACTTCACAAATGATCTCAGTGCCCAAGAACTTCCATTCTCCCCAGGGAATGGGTACGAGCAGAGATCACACGAAAAATGGGTCCTCCTGTAAGGACAAAATGAGTCCATCCCTACATGCAGCTCTCCCCAGCCCTCTGAGATCTGCTCGCTCCGGCCACAGGCATCCCCTTCCCACAGAAGCTGTCCTGGGGTATGCCTCAGGCCCGACAGATTCAGTAAACACGCTGGCTGGTCTCCAGTAGTCCTTCCTCACCCAGTCCTGTGCCTCCTTCTCTCCCCCACAGCATGCTACTGTTGTGGAGTCTCCATCTGTGGAGATATTCAGAAGCTGCCTGGACACAGTGCAACCGGCTTTATGTGGCCCTGCTTGACCAGGGAGGTTGGACCAGATGACCTCCAGAGGTCCCTTCCAGCCTCAGCCATGCTCTGGTCCTGTGAAACTGTCTCTCCTCTCATACACTGAAGTTGCTAAATTGATTGGCAAACTGTTGGCCCTGAGTGCAAATTTCTAGAGTTCAGCTCCAGCGTGCCTAGTTCAGACGGACTGATCCTTCTGATGTGCCTCCATCAACTCTGAGGCAAATGCTGACACTTACTGTAGGAGAAGACGGCTGCCCTTCAACGTTACCTAAAATATACCTGCACCTAAGATGCTACTGCACACCAAGTTAACTAATTCCTGATCTGTCACACCAAATCTGGGCTGATGGCTATCCCCAACTAGTGAAAAGTACTTGTATTGGCTTCTTCAACTGAAGCTAGTAGTACGGATGTAAAAAAAAGTTAATTTTTGCACGTGCATGCTATACATGCGCGTTGCCTGCGAATGTGACTGCGGCAGGCAGAGGACCCTGCCCTGCTGGGTAAGGTGCTGTTTAACGAGCCCTGTGCCCCAGCATGGCTGGCAGGAGCAATCCACCGGCTCCCACAGCTACGGCCAGTTGCTGTCTCGCATTCTCTTGGCACAACTTTTCCTGCAGCTGTGTGGCGATGGAGGAAAGCATCCAGCTGAAAGGCAATCAAATTTTTGCTGGATTAGCTTTCAACTCTATCCTTTTCCCCATCCAGTTAACCATATGGCTACAGAAAACACGCACCCTGTCACAAAGAAGTGGTTTGTGTGCGGAAGGACAGAGGGATTACTTCAGGACTTTGGATGCAGGAACGGCTTACTCAACCTCTGCTAAACTACAGCCTGAAGGCGTGGTGGCAGCACGGATAGTAAGAAGCAGTGGAAAGGAAAACTCTCCCAAAGAAAGCATTAGTTGTCCGGTGGTAGCTTGGGCTCACAGCCTTAGCACGTCTACTACCAGGGCAGAGCAAGACTGCAAGGAGATAACATTCAACACGGCCTCTCTGGAAGACTGGGCAAGGAGACCCGTTGTGTGTTCACCAGTGGAGCACAAGCACAGAGGATCAGGCCCTACGTGGTGCTGATCGGATTAAGAACACAGGGTGTAAGTGCATGTATTATGTGAATTAAAAAAAAGTATTATAAAAAGAAACATACCTTGGAATTAAAGATAACATACTTTGGCTTACACATATGTTCATGTGCTGAGCTATTTGATAGGATAGATGATGTTGCATTGAACTCCGATCCGCCACAGGGAATTTGAAACTTCTTGTAAATAACCTAGAACGACAGAGGAGGACAGCTAATTGCTAAAAACAATAACAAAAAGCAAATTAAAACATCAGAGAAATTGTGAATATCCTATCACGTGGTTCTCATCCAACAAAGCAAACTGAACTTACCACTATCAGGAAAAATACCATGCAGCTTAATGAAAATCCACTGGTATAGCCAAGATACCCTGAAAGAAATTAAAAGGAAATCTCATACATAATTATTTTATTAGTCGTATCTTGGTTTTTAAAGTTTAACTGTATTATACATTTAATATGCACTGTGAGCCTCTGGGCAGGACAAAAGCATGTCCTGTTGGTGTGGCAGTCTCTCATGTTGCAAGCCTTCCAGCATTCAGACAGACCTGAGCTTTGCTCTGACCGGTTTGACTTCCCAAGTGTCACCTTTACGGCTGTTTAACTAATTTTGCTTTTGCAAGGGGCTGTGATAGTAGAAACAAACCTGAAAATGTGCAATTGCAATCAGAACATGACCCAGATTCCTGATATGAGCCACATCAGCTGAGTACGGGTTTTTTTTCAAAAGGAAAACCCCAAAAGAGACTTCAGTGCCAGAACTTATTATGTGGTTTTAAAAAACGCATTGTGTACCTAACAGCATCTGTGTGGACTCAAACACATTTGAAAATACAATCTTCTATACACATCTTACTTCAAAGTCCAATAGCTCCAGTTAACCTCACCACTGAAAATCTCGATGTTGATAGAAAATTAAGTTATTTTTTGTAATCTCATGATTTGTGAATTTATTTTTACAGGCTACACATAAACAAGAATTGCTTTATGAAATCAAGACCTTCTTAACTATAATTTTTTAAATCGATTTCCACAATTGTATGGATGAAGCTGGTTCATCCCGAGTTCAACTGCTGTGACAATTTAGGCCTTCTTGTTCAAATATGCTCAAAACACAGCTTATTCCTGGACTAAGGAGGCTGTTTCGATTACAATGAGAGCATGTTTTTTTTAATTGTAGTTGAATTGCCGGTGTGGCAGTCAGTGGCATGGTGTCTGGACTCCTTTATTTTATTCCCACAACGGCATTTACGTCTTACCTAAGTTCTTAAGGAGACATAAAGGCAGGATTATACCAAACGTGACTGTGACAACAAGGATCCGCCCATCCACGTACCACGCCCTGTATAAAAAATTAAAAAAACCCCACCATGAGCACGCCTTAAACCCTCTCTTGTATTCCTCACACTCAGTCATCCTTTTCCATTGCTGCAGTTCCAGGACTATCTTTGCTCTCCTTACTCCACAAGCTCCTACAAAAGGAGAGATGGGGACCATGTCCAAGCTTTGTAGGCTCATTAAGTACCCAGCCCTTAAAATTTGGCACTGCTCTGACTCGGATATGGCAGATTTTCATAGTCCCTAGACAAAACCTCACCCTGCTGCTGAGACCAGTGAGTGGGGCTGAGAGGCAGAACAACAGGCTCTGCAACCTGACATAAAGACCCTCGACCTGCCAGGACTAGGAAAGACCATGCAAAGGGGCCACACATACAGCACAGTGGGGCAGGGGAGGCCACCACCAGTTGTTTGCTAAACCACTTGGGCACGTGCCTGGAGCAGCAAACCTGGCTCCTGCGGGCTGGCACACAGTAGCCAGGCAAAGGCTGTATCTCCTTCTAGCAAAGTGCTTTCAATTCTGCTGCCAAGCAAGAAAGGGGAGAAGGGACAGCATTAGTGATGTTCTGTATAGCCAATGCTCGGTCCAATTTAGTATGAAAGCCTGAGGAATGGGATCTCTACCTTCTTATCTTGCACTACAGCATACCTTATAACCCAGTGCAAAGGATATTTACCACTATAAAGAAATACCACCCCTCTGTTATAGAAGCTGGTAAATGTCAGTGAGTGATAAGCAGTAGAAATCCAAGTATAATATTCCGCTGTTGTCATATGCAAGTATCGAAGAATTTCATACTACGGACAGTACTTCAGCGGCAAAATCCTGTAAGGTGCTAAGAATGCAGGGAAATACATAATATCTTAGACTTGCATTGTTCCCAGTATCTTCAGGTGTTGCCTAATACTGTAAAAGATTAGATCCTACAATAAGAGGTTTGTATAAATCACAACTCTGCATGAAAGTCTGGTGTATGAAGAGAGTAACTACTGATTGCTTCACATTTTATTTCCTATCCATCCTCTTTTCCTTCCCAAAGTTGCCTCCGTTTTTATTAACCCCCTGAGATATTCCTGGGAATACCTACTTTGACAAACCTAGAGAGTATCCAGTACTTAAAGAGATTTTACAAACATATGCTTAAATGTATCTACACAATGTTAAATTCTACACTCTAATCACAAAAATGAGTTCAACTTACGAAAAAGATTCTTCTTTTCCCATCAGAAACTTTATGGCAGAAGGCAGCTCATTTTTGACTATGAAGAGATAGCTCAACATTGCTGGAGGAAGAAGACAGTCAGGTTAGAAAATGGGTAGGAACCTTACTGGAACAAGTACGGAGAAGCATACTGAACCTTTTCCCGCATCAGCGTCTGGTGACAGCAGACCCCAAACTCTAATTGATTGTGAACTACTGATCATTCAACTATGCAGCATTTTTAAAGGGCTGCACGCAAAGCGTTAGCCACAGCTATATCAAGGAGCACGGAGATCCCAACATGTCGCTGAGAGAAGGAGGAACCTGACTGGCTGATAGCCTTACCATTATTAAGATATTCCAGGGTTTTGTTTTTCAATACCCCTCATCTCCTTTACCTCCAACGTTCTGGAGAGACGTAGATCCAAAGACAATCATTTTCCCTGGGGTCCCGAAGACCTGCTCACCCAGCTTCTCATACACCATGCAGCCTGCATGAAAAGAAACGAGGAGAAAGGCAACAAATACACCAGTGAAAGCTGTGGAGTCGAAACACTTACAGCTAACCACCCATCCGTGCAGCCATATCTGCCCTTTGCAAGTAAATAGAGCTCTCTTGTAATTACTAGGGCTGAAACTTATGTAGGAATGTTTTCTTGACGTCTATAAATGTTATTGTTGGCTACCAGCCATTTTGAAATGGAAGCTCTTAATAAGGCTATTAGGCCCCTTTAATGAGTCTGTCTGTACCCCTAGTGACATGTTAAGTTCTGGTATCCCCATCCTGGCGTACAAGGTTTGCACCCGCAATGAGAGTGACGTAGGAAGCCTCCTCTCCAGACAAAACTCGTTACAGCAGGATCCACAAGGCAGCACAGGCAGCCTGGCCACAGCAGACACAGTACCACAATTCTGCAATTTCGCTTGCTTTGACTAAATGATCTTAATGAGGGCAGCCGCTGGCTTACAGGATGATTTGCAGTTTCTCATGATGAAGCTTTAGCCTGTGAATTCTTAGTGTGGTATGTTTTTGGTAAAAGCAGGGAAAGGTGTAAATTATAACTAAAACTTCATTTTCAATACGTCAAGCTTGAGAAACTCCGCTATTAATTGGTTTGTGTTTCTGTTAAATGTTTTTGCCCTTGGCTGTGATTTAGGCTGAGAAAAAGACTGGGTATTGTGACGATGGCGAGATACATGAGAACAGAAAGAGAAGTATTGCAGATATTACACTGTACAGATGATTTTTAAAATGCATCCTATTGTTTGGTTTTCTCTATATTTCCTTATAGCTGACATTTCTGCTTTGAAGCTTGCATAAACAGTAAGTTTGAGCTTAGATGTTCCAGCAGCATAGAAACCAGGGCTTAGATTTTGGGAACTAACAGGGCACAAATGTGTCCACAATTAGGCATACGTATCTAATTTAAACAGACAGTTTCTGACATTATATATGCTACAACAGTAACTCAGTGGGTCCAAATTACATATTAAAATATCACAGTGTTCTTGTGCACAGATAATTTTAAAAATCTGGCTTCAGAGTTTGTTACTCAAGGAAAGAGACTCTTGGACTTCAGAGCACAGTGACATTTAACACTGTAAGTAACTTCTAATTTCTGTGTTTAGAATATATTTTGCTTACAGATACACTTCTCTCTGTGCAGGAACTGTTCCCTTTTATTTTCTTCTAGGACACCTCCTACTACACCACAAAGGCTGTCAGGAATGTCACACTAACCAGGTAAGCTTCACTATAGGCAAAGACTCATTATATTTCATTTGCAATTGGTTTTGTAACGCAAAGAAACTGTATGAGCTGTTTCTTCTAGCTCACCGAAGACAACATGTCGTGGTAGCGGGATTCACTCTATGTTGTAGGTCTTTCTCTTTATAGTGATGGTCAGATGCTGTTCTCCATTGCCATGTCATAGATTCTTGTTAATTCTGGCCTTCTGACCCAAAATGTGTTAAGCCTTTCTATTGTGTCAGCAAAGTGATAAAAACTCCGACTTACACACAGCACCTGGCCTTATTTGAGCACTTTTCACCTCTTTTTCTTTACATTCTACTGGTATGATTCTAATGGTATAATAACATCTTAAATTACCTGTTTCCTTTGAACACACCAACAGGAGATATATTGAATAAATAGACAGCAGCGTCACTGAAACCAAAAGCAGCCTACAAAAGAATGGAATATAAAGCTTACTGTAACAGTTGAGCTCTAACATTGCAATACTTCACATGGGGTCACATTCCTGTTGACTCTGAGATATTTTTTATACTTTTCTCACAATGCAAAGAGCCCTAAAAATACATGTGATTCACATGCTTTTTGCAGCTCCACCACACCACCGTGGAGGTACAAAGCCCTGCATGGAGCCGGATTCAACCAGGCAAAACTTAGCAGAACTGCAGAGCGCAGCCTGCTAGTGAGTTGCATCTCCCCATGCTGAAAGAAGCAAGAATAAAGATGTCTTTTCAGATAGGAATTAAGATTTAATCAGAGCAGGGATGAGCCAGGTATGTCCCTTACCACTCACTCTCAAGCTTTTTTTCTAGAAGCAGAGTAAAAATTTCAAAGGGAAGTCCTCTATGTAAAGACTTCCATAGCAAATGGAAGTATCTTTTCCCTGGACATGTTTCATGTGCTGCCAAAGGGGTGCCCAAAAAGTTATTTATGTGCCTCCTAGTGCCCAAGGAGTGGGGAAAGGAGGGAAGTTAAGGCTCAGCTGGCTTCCCTTGGGAATAAAGGCAGAAACCAAAAGCTTATACTTTGTCCAGTGGGGACTCATGTTCCCTCACTGATGTCACTCCTGGTCTGCCGTGATCCATAATGTGACTTCATTGTAAAAGAATTGGAGGAAGCAATGACCAAACTGTTTGTGTGGGGAACTTGCTGGCACAAATGATAATTAGTCAGTGCTGGGGGCTAAGTGCATAAAACCACATTTGCTCATTGCTCTATGTCTTTAAGCCAAGCACCATGTGTGCCTTCCTCTCCAACACTCTGACACACAAAGACCTGATGATGTTTTCATGATGTGTGTGAAGAGCACACAGACAATCTGTTGGCAATTCCTCTCTTTATTATGACAACTACCCTCAGGACACTGAGAAAAACAAGCCTAAAATTTAACAGAGAACAAGCTGCTGTCATAGATAGGCAGCAACGTATCTTTTCCATGAAAGACCAGGATGAGAAGCCTTCTCCCTCCTCTTTTTCACTATTTCACACTAGAAATACTTTAGTGCCAAATAATGACCCACAAGTTTCTTGGGGCCAGGGGAGCAGGGAGAAATGTAAAGAGGTGACAGGAGGAACTGCTTGTTTGCCAACAGAGAATGGTGGTTGATAATAACAGCACGCACTTCGTACAGCCCAAAGGGTGTTGCTCCGTGGGGAGGAGGAGAAGGGAAGGGAGATTGTTCTGGCTGCGGTCACTCTGCTCCGTTTATTGCAGATTTGCTCAGCCTGGCTGCTGCCGGCATTCCCCGCAGAGTTGCTGCAGCCCTGCCTGCCCGAGGCACGGTGCTCGCAGCCCTCGGTGCTCGGCTGCTGGCCTGACTCTCTCCCAGACCCAAACGGCCCCGCCCCCCCCTGCCAGCATCAAGTCTATTTTAACATTAAAAGCTCCTGTTCTTCAGGCACTGAGCTCATGGAGTCTTTGCAGCGGTAAAAATAACGCTCCCGAGCAGCCAGGTATTTATCTGATCTGTTGTCCTTAGCTCCCCGTAGGGTTCTTCCAGAGACACTTGGCATTTTCATTAGCGCTGTATGAAAAACTTGTTTGTGTTAGGACTGTGGTATGGACAGGGATATCCGTGCCAGAACCACCCCTTGGAGAGGAATGAAAATGTCCGTGCCACTCGCTGTACACAAATCCAAAACAGAAGCAGGGGAGCTTGCGTTGCAGTCCCAAAAGCACTCCCCTACTTCTTATTTTGCCTGCTTTTAGAGGAGTGCTGGCAGCTATGCAAGGGACCGGCGCCTGCAAAAATCACCTCCCTCCAACAAATCCAGAATAAATGGTTTAGGGCAGGGGACTGATAGAGCGCTGGGAAGAACAAACCATTCCTGCGATGCCACTGCTGTTTGCTCCCAGCTGCCGCACTACGAGGTCAGCTGGAACACGTGCTGTCCCCAGCCCGCTGCAGAGTCCCAGGCTCTGGGGCCAGAAAAGACCCGTGAGGCTCATGCAGTCACCTGCCCTATCGCACAGAACAGCCCTGAACCCCCATGAGGCATCGGGTGCAGAAGAGCTTGGCGGAGCGCGGGGTTTGCCACTGTACGGCCTCCCAGAGGTCTGCCAGCCTGCCCTAAACCTTCAAGGAGCTAGGCTGTGGATTCATAGCTGCTTCCAGTTTACTCTAGCAGAAGCAGCTGCAGTGTGAAACTTCGGCTGTGATCTCATACTGAAAGTTCGGTTTTAATCTCATACTGTACTTCTAACAAGCCCCTGTGCCTCAGCGGTGTTTTGCAGATCGCGTGCAGTGCCAGGCTAAATGCAGCTGAAGGCGCTTTGCACTTGGCTGGCCCATATGTCTCTGCAGTGCGATCCATCACTCCTGTCCTGGGTCTCCAGGTGGAAGCCACAGGTAGGGTGAGCCAGCAACCAGTGCTCCTGCCATCCCTACGTGGCCTGGCCCATCTCTTACCAAGCCTTTTGTGCTGTCTTTCTGCAGCAAGCTTTTCTCCCTTTCTGCATACGGGAAAGGACGCTTTTCTTTGGTCTAGACTGTAGTTATCAACCATACTGGGATTAAGTTCCTCTGAGTTCCTACCTCAGTTGTTTTGCCTTGAAAGCATGACACTTTGCTACGGCACTGAGTTATGCCAATAGGGTGTGAGAGTACGTACTCATTGCTGTGTTTATCTTGCATGTCTTATGCCAAGAATACAGGATCTGAACTGATCCAGGTGCACACGCTTCACACGGCAGGATTGTAACATTTGTGAGAGCGGAAATCAGGTTGGGTCTTCTTTGTTAGCACGGAAAATGTTCCTTTAATTTTTTTGCCTCTGCTTTCTGCTTCTCAGAGATGGTGCATGCCCATATTAGATAAAGCAACCTAGAAACTTTCCAGAACTGTGCTACCGAAGAGCAATGAATGTAAGTGCTTCTTCATGTACAAACAGCAATGAAGCTATTGCTGGGAATCTATCTTTAATCACTTGTAAAGTGGAAATGGTTCTAAGATCTACCTGTGATAGCAAGAGCAGAATTATGCATTTATGGGAAAAATGCACTGAATTAGAGTGTGAGAAAAAAATATGAAACTAACAGACTAGATTTAACTCTGAGATTATTACATGATAAAAGAACATTTAAATCAGTTCAACTTCCAGGCATAACTACAGACACCACATCAGGATCCTGTATCTCCAGGCTTCAAAGGGGAAAGCTCTGCTGGCCTGGTCAGTTAGGTCCCGCTAGCTTCCTTCCCTTTGATCTCAGCGGGCTGGTCTATCTCCAAGCCGACAGATCTAAAGGCATTATAAAGCTAAAAAAACCAATTATTCACTTGTAAAGACCTACAGTTAATTCTGTAGAGAATAATGCTGTTATTTACTGTATAAAATTTCTACTTTCAGGTTAGGCAGTGTTTTGTACAATGTGGTGGTACAGAACTGCACACTCACTGCTCAGGCTGAGAGGAGCCCAGCCACCACCACACACTGTTAGAAGTTTCTCTGGTGTTCACATCACTGGTCTGATCTACTTCACTTAAAAGAAACTGCCTTTTTACATCCTCTAGAGCAAACACTTTTTCACATTTCATTTAACTCTCATGATAAACTGCTGAAAGAATGAGAAGAGGATGAGATTATAGAAAACTAAAGCAGTAAGAAGAAACTGAGGGTGAGACACTTGGCTGAGACACTTGTTATCACAGAAGAGGTAACAAGGCTGAAGAGAGGTAACTTTTCTTTGCCTGGTTACAGCAGTTTTTGCAACCACCAGTCTGTGCCTTCAGAGGCGTGCTTGTCAGAGCACAGGAGGAGTATCACATACGGGTTAGAGTACTGCATAAAAAAGGCAGCAAAAATAAAATAAACTCAGCTCCTCTGCATAATGAAGACCTAAATTAGAGTCCAGCTACTTCATAGCCTAGCTTAGTGACAACGCATTTATGAGACTTTGTACATTCTTAATGTAAATGGATTAACAAATTGGATTATTCCCAGATTTTACCCAACCACAGCAAGCTGTACGCTAGCAGCATGGATGTAGCTATCCTGGCACAAAACCCCAGAGCAGATGGCTATATGTACCACTTTGGCCATTCTCTCTGCTATATACAGAGCTCATTATATATTTTCCCCAAACCTAAGAAATAACAGAAATTCTAGATTTTTAGATTTGACGTTCGAGAAAAGGCACGTCTTTGAAGTAATTTGTAAACTCAATAACCATGCTGAGCAGTTCTCAAAGATTGTAATTTATTGTATTTCTTCCCTCAATGAACATTTATCACTGGAATCTGCACACAATTCCCAACTGATTCCTTAACAATCACTTCTCACAATGAAACGTCTCATACTGCAATCCAGAATAACACAGAATAACACTGTGTCTTACTCATTCACTGGCACCATTTCATTTTTAAGCTATAAAATCCTCCTTTACAGAATGCCTCTTTTTCCTGGAGTTAAGCACTCTACCTCAACCCTCTTTTCATACTAAAATCTTGGCTGTATTTATGTTGGCTCTCAAGGGCTCTCACATGAGAAACTAAAGACACTGTGGGAGTGAGATGAAAATATTATAGGTAACATATAAAGGAATATAAATATTCTTTTTCTTGGTTAAAAAACCCCAGTAGTTATTGCACCATGTTTTGATGAAAGCTCTGGAGATCCTGTGACACAAGTAAGAACTAGGTACTATCCCACTGCAACTACTACTATTGAATATTTCTGATTACTATTGAATATTTCCGATGTCTGTGTAGCTTGTGGACCATTGGAAAAATCCCTGGCTAGGCTCAGGTCAGTACTAAATAACATGGACTTAATTTGCTCTAGCACTGCAAGTAGTGGCTTTTCCCCCCAAAAAATTTTACTGAAAAAAAATGGCTGAAACCACTCACTAACATTTCCAGGCTTGAATGCTGTGTTTGATTACACATGTACTATAAATCCTGCCGTTTGCTGGCAGCACACACGTTCTTTAAACGCAGTGAAACTGCATGGAGATCAGCTACTCACCACATGAATACTTACAGAAAAAGGAGAATTCCTGTGTTGGCCAAAGCAAAAGCGAGACCCAAAATCCCACTGCCCATAATTGCATTGCTGAGGTTGAAGACGGACATCCCCAGTGAAGTTGTTCCTGGGATCTGGAGAAGTAAAGACAGACATGTCAGCAACAGCTTGGAACACAGCAGGGAAATAAACGCATCTTACACTTCGAACTCCACGTTTTGCGATATATCAGATGTAAGTAACTACTGTTACGGAACTGACTTAGTAAAAATTGGTTTGAAAGAGGCAAAAGCGCCACTGAACTCTGTCACAGCCACACTCTGCTCACTGTCCTACAGAGTTTGTAAACTGTCGTAAGTGGTATTGGCAATACACAACTCATACTACAATTTTAAACCCCACCTTTCACTACGCCTGTGAAACATCTTAGGCACATGGTTTATATATTGTAAGGCCGTAAGGAACCCCCAGGACTTCCTGCCTAACACAGGCCACAGAGATTTCCTTGCCTCAGCTCAACCAAAATGTTTGGGTTTTTTTCGTTCTGGGTTTTTTTAAAGTGCTGAGCACAGGTAGTTCCTCCCCGAATTTCAGTTATAATTGTGTGTGCCCAGCCCTTTTGAAGACCATGTCTAAAGGCCCTTCATATACACAACATACAGTTCATTTTGGCAAAGAACAGCAAGAGGCTTACATATTCATCGCATTTCTTCTTCTCCAGGTGGCTGTTTGTGAGACTTCTTCTGCTTTCTCGATCCGAAATAAACTTGCTGAAAGAAGTCAGAGGATTTATTTTCAGCAAGCATTTAGAAAATGAGAACACATTAATTCCATGAGCAGCATGTGATTACCAAATACGCAGAGAATAAAAACTGTATGCGAAAAGAGGTCAAACTCATAACTATTTAATGAGCCCGATTATGCTTCACTGATACCAGCATACATTGGGCATTAATAAAGGTAACTCTTAACACAAGATCAGAGTAAGTGTATATATACAGAATGGTCTTTTAGGAGGTGTAGTAAAGCCGCAGCACCGATTTTGTGGACGGGAAAGCAAATTGTTTGCACAGACACTCAGGGGAGATGCTTCTCCAGGTGTCCTGCAGAGGTGCGTGTGACCAGCAGCCCTGGCTCCTGACCCCTGCTCATGTCGTTAGCACAACTAATGCCATTTTATAAGGCAAGCACTGTTCTCTGTGACTGAGTGGGTAATGTATTCATTCCCTTTCCCTCATTACCAGGCCCTGAAGGTCCCGTGAACCAAGTAGACAAACCAAACAGATTTCTTCTTCCCCTCCCTATCGGCCTCAAGACTCCTGGGCGCCAGCCCGATTACACCCCTCCTTGTCAGCCTTGAAGGCCCCAGGCACCCGGCCCACCAAGTGCTGGTGATGACCCCCTCACAGAATAGGGAAGCCTAATAGCACCTACAGCACCGTCCAGAAAATCAAGCAGTTGCAAGTATTAAGAGGGGAACCTGGACCAGAGCTGCTGCCGGCCAGGGAGATCCGGGGACCCCAAGGTGGCCGGGGATGCCTCCGCTGTCCTCTGCTTCCACCGAGGACTGAGGGAGTGACTTGTATTCTTTTATACGATTTTTTGAGTCTAGATTATGATTGTTATACTGATACAGCAAACCATGTATCATGATTTGACCCGATCTGCAGAGGGTCCAGGTGGTTAGAAATTGTAAGTTAAGTCGTATTATAAATTCTGCATTATGCTATTTATAGATTGTACTACATTGACTCTGCTTGTAGAAATCCTGTGACATTCCAATAAGAAATTCTGTGCTATACTAATCATAATACCCTGTTAATAAAATAAAGCTTTAATCGTAACTACAATATAGTGCCATCATCATTCTGCCAAGGATCCCCAAAAGACTCTGTCTGTCCCCTCAGTGTCAGAATACAGCATGGCACGCTACAGAACCCTAAATTGCCACCATAGGGTCGGCACAGCTGGAGTTAAGAGGAACAAGAGGTGCTGCACGCAGCCAGTGCTGCCTGGAGCATCCTGAACTGGGCGACGTGCTCTGTTAGTGCACTGTTCTGGGCTAGGGGATTTTCATTTAAGTACCTTTCAAAACTCACTACTGAATTCACCATACTGCAAAATTAAACACTTCTGTGCAAGGAAACACAGAATAAACAGTTTTTATTTTTTCCTGCGCCCTTTACTTGCTCTACGTCCTTGATATATCCACATTTAGGAACTTACTGTCACCAGAACAAAATTTGCGTCCTGCCGCTGCATCAGTATCCTTGGGATTTACGTCACTTTTAATTTGGATAAGCAGTTATTTTCTTCCAGATCCTCTCTTCAGCAAACATTTTAGTTTGTATAAAGCATTCTTTCAGCTTTTCATCTTTTGAAGGTTTGTGGACAATTAATTCCCTGGCGTCTTTGTTAATCCACAGATGGTTCTTAGGCTGCACTGGCAAATGCATCAGCCATCGTATGTGTTACGTACCTAACCAGGGGCTGTCACCAAGTGTCAGAGACCCTTTTGGCTATAGGTACATTAAGGTGGCTCTGCTTAAATTAAAACCGGCAAACAATATGCTGAACGCAAAGACCAGCACTGCTGGTCCTTTTCGACAGCTGGGAATGTCTACCGGCCTGGGATGTATAGCTCAAACTGTGACTCGAGACTGTGCATCATTTGAGTACATCCAAAGGTATTCAGGATGGTAATATAGCCATGAACTCATAAAGACTCTATCAAATTTCTGTACTGCCAGGTTTGTGGCCTAATTACTAGCAATATGTGCTAGCACAGCTTCTAAGTGTATGCCAAAATCATGCAGTTGTAATGCTGCTGACTTGCCTTCCACAGCTGACACGCTGGGCCCTGTGTCTTTAACATTTCATATACTCCATACATGTTTTGAGTTTATCCCTTGAACCTGGGCATAGCTGGCAAAATGGATTTAGTATTTTTGCTGGTTTTGTTGCAGCTTTGACTCCTACTGATTGGTCTCTTTCGACTTCCTTTATATCAATAAAAACCAACTATAGGCTTCTCCTATATTTTTTAAACTACTAACTTCAGCAACTAACTTGCTGCAAAATATACACGCTGTGCCAGGTTTACCAGCCCTAACACAGTTGGAATAGATGACTGAACCTCCCCCACTGTTTTAAGAAATTAAAAGCCACCACTTCCAGGATAGACTGGTCCAAAATTAACTTTCCAAAGCTCACCACGTAGGTATTTCATCCTCACGGAATAAAATCTCAACCCAATTCAGAGCGTGTGCTTTTTTTTTCATGTCTGTTTAAAGCCCATTTCTTGAACGCAGGCAGCAGAGTGTGAACGGTTTGAAAAAGACATTCCAACTCTCTGTCGAAACACCCCGCAGGCAATTTGTACAGGCAGGAGCACAGAGGAGAGTTTTGTCTCTTTTGAATTTGCAAGTGCTGCTGGGAACATCAGTGGACTTTGCCTTCTTCTGTCATTTATGGACACCATGTGTCATTTTAGATTTTGTCAAGAGTTATGGTGAAGGTAACTTGTCTGGTCCCCCCACTTCTCCTCACCCCTCTGCAGCCAGTCCCCCCTTAATAATTACAAAAATAATAAATTTGTAGGTACTATTATTATTGCCACCTGGTATTAAGGTTCAATGAAAATTATTGTTAAAGAATGAACTCATGATAAAGACAACACTGGAGTAATATTGCTTGAATATAAAGCAACCGTGGGACTTCCCATTAGAATACTTTTGACAAAGTAAATAGCTTATACAGAACTGGTATCTTCTGTGGCCAACAAACACATTATTTCCTTCTGGATGGGACTTTAAGAAAACCAGTCTGATTTGATAAACAGATCTGAAGCACTTTCTTTTGAGTTAGTCCTACGTTAAAACAGACTAGGCTTGTTGTCCAGCCTCTCCTATCCCATTACAAGCTGGGCTTCTCATCCACCCCACATCTACCATGTAACACCGCACACTAATTCTCCATTTGTGCTGTGTGATGTGTATGGAAGGACAAAGTCAGGCACAGGAATGTGGCTACTGGGCTCCCAAACCACAATGTCTATGAAGTACGTTACATTGCACCCGGCTTTTTTACGGGGTGCTTCCAAGCACCTGCCTCCCAGCCCCAGGGCAGCTTGCCCAGAGAGCTCAGCAGCGATGGGGGATGCGGGGTCCACCCGATCCGGAGGCTGTGCTGCATTCGCTATTGCAGGCAACGACAATTCAACCTGCAAGTCCAGACGAGAAGATTGCCTCAGGACCACGCTCAGACGTACCGTATGAAAACCTAAGTTTTCCACAAATGGAATGTACTACTGAACTTAAATTGAAAAAACCCAAACATATATAGAAGGAAGGTAATCCCATGGCTTCAACAGAAACAAATCTTCCCAAGACTTTGCTTTTTATAAACATTTTTTCATTTCACAGTGGTTTTTTGTTCCCCCTACAGCATATGAAAGGGAACGTATGTTGGAATACTGGAATTTCTGGTTAAACCATGACATACATCTGCTCTGCTTAACAGATGTGCTTAGAAAGCGAGCTATTCATTGTCACAGAATGTTGTGTATTTGACCTTCATAAATATGACACAAATGAGGCGAAACCACTGTTTACTCCAGCCTCTCCCAGCCCTCCCAAGGACTAGGGGCCACTGTGACAGGCACTGTGGAAGTGTGCAGTAGGACCATCTGTGCCATCAAAGCCCCGTGACTCCCTGACAAGCGCGAAATCCTTCCACGCTGTTTGCTGTCTTCATATCCAACACTTTACTCATCATTAAAAGACATAACCTGTTCTTCTATGTTTCTGCTTTCCTGTTGTGCTTCCTACAACACAGCTGAGTTTGAGTAGCTTGTGCAAAATTTTTCGGATACGACAGTGAAATTTCCTGGCCAAAAAGTAACCAGCTCATCCTTGCAATGCATGAAGCCTCACGGTTGTCTTGGAAAGAATTTCGTCATCTAATTCTTTTCCTGGTTTGATTTAGCGCAAAGTAGAAATTTAGTCTTACTGATAAATTGGTTTTAAAAGGACCACGTTTAACTATGGTTTCCAAATTTAATTTATTAGAGGACTTAAATGAGAAATGTTTGATTAAGGTGATATCCTCGAGCTAACCATTTTGGCTAAGCAGAGTTAGCCAAAAACTATTTAGCTATGTCAGATACATTTAAACATAATTAAATTAAAGTGATATTTGACAATGCCTTAAACATTTGCTAGGGAAAGCTAGTTTTGCCAAGATGACAGAACTTTATCCTTAGGCACCTTCTTAAACTGAGCTCTATCTTGAGCAACGGCAAAGATTTCCAGGGCAGGCAGGAACAAGAAATGCAGAAGAAACCTTGGTCTGGCTTACACTATGAAACTCGGACCAGATCTGGGTATATCTACTTACAACCTTGTTAACTGAACAAGGGGTGCTGATAACTTACTAGTAGCTGCAAAACGAGACATGCATTCAGACGGCAGCTTCCTGAGAGCATTGTTGTGGGTACAGATGAGGAGTAGGTCATCTAAATACTGGTTATGTGCAGAGACGGCAAAGTTTTCTAGCCAGGATACACGGTTAAAAGTCACCAAATCCATGTCTGGATTTGAAGCAAGTCTCTATCGACATTCCCAGAAGAAATTCAACATCTGCTTACAAAGAAAAACCCCTCCTAATACAGCCCCTTCCAAACAACACGCCCTCCCTACATAAAAATGCATGTATAAATTTAGGCCCAGAACAGGCTGGAAATCCAAAGGAAACTAGAGAATTCTTTTCCAAGATCAAGACATATTTGGAGTTTAAAACCAGACCTGGAATCAGCTTCTCCCTGGTGTACCTTCTCCAAAAGACCCTTAAAAACTCTGCTCTACACTGAGCTTGAGAAATTATGCACTGGGAGAAAAAAAATATTTGAAATGAAATACAGGGTGCAAAACCACCAGGTTGAAACAACAACAAAAGAAGTCAGTTGAAAATTACAAATCTAATCTAAAGCTCAAGTGAAATCAACAGAAAAAGTCCCACTGATTTTGTTGGACTTTGGAGTTTCACAAGGCCTTGCCCCGTGTGCCAGGCACTACAAAATGTTTTCTCCTGTAAGCCTGTTAACCTTTTATTCCACAGAGACAGGGCATTTGCTAAAATAGTCACAGAAAGGCTGAGAGGCGACCTTATAAATGCTTACAAATGTATTCAGGGTGGGTGTCAGGAGGATGGGGCCAAACTCTTTTCAGTGGTGCTCAGTGACAGGACAAGGGGCAATGGGCACCAACTGAAGCATAGGAAGTTCCATCTGAACATGAGGAAGAATTTCTTCCCTCTGAGGGTGACGGAGCACTGGAACAGGCTGCCCCCGTGGGTGGTTGAGTCTCCTTCTCTGGAGATATTCAAGCCCTGCCTGGACAAGGTCCTGTGCAGCCTGCTGTAGGTGACTGCTTCGGCTGGGGGGTTGGACTAGGTGACCCACAGAGGTCCCTTCCAACCCCGAACATTCTGCGATTCTGTGAAAGAGAATAACGCCTGCCTGTTCATCACTTGTGTCCATGCTTGCACTGGGCAGTGGCCATGGGTGGCTGGGCCTCAGGGCAGTGCGAGCCATCTTGAAACTCTTGGTCTAGACATGGAGGGGAACGTGAACATGCTGGGATATACAGGGAAAAATATTCACGCATGGGATGCGTAAGCAGCTATCCCGCGAGCAGCTCAGCAGAGGGATAACAGACAATTGTAATGGGCTACATCCTACAAGCTCAATGCTCTGCAGAGGAAAAGAGTTATCCAGAAAGGAATGGAAAACTGTGGGACCTGTTCATCTGCCCTAAGAGCCAGAACAGTAATCAGAAATTTTGCCTCCAAGTTTCTGATGTTTTTTCCTCACCCTATGTTTCTTCTTCCCTTTGCAGCAGTCTGGATCCGACCCAGACCTTGCCCCGCTTACTATGCCCTAACTCCACAAAGCACATTGTGACTGCTGAGGATCGGGCACACGCTCCTTCCCCACCCTCCATAAACATTCACTGAAAGATGAAATGCTAACAGGGTTTTTCCCCGTAACAGTTACTGGTGGCACCAGCCAAATCGCTGGAGAGGCACAGCCAGTACAAGCACTCCTCCTTCTCCTCCTCCTCCCAAGGATATAAACCCTCAGCAGGCTCCAGGGAACGGATCTACCACTGTCAGCCCCTGAGCTCTTCACCTTACGAAGAGAGCCAGCAGGAAAGCAAGCAGGTTCATACTGGAACTGATTTGTTTTGGCAAAGTTGGAGGGGGTTTTTTCTTGTGCTTGCCTTTTTTTTTTTTTTTTTTTTTTCTTTTTTTCAGAAGGGGTTTTTTTTT